AAAATAATCATATTGAGTTTAATAGTTTCGATTAGGATCGCGATAATAGAAATCAAGTTAAATTAATTCTCGTGAGAACGATATTCAAAATTCTTGAATTTACACTTTATTACTTGTCAACGAACCGTTCACTTGCGGTGATTTAAATCTGAAACATTTTTCTGTGAACAGTAGGGCTTCGATTGGTAGGTTTAAATGTTGGTGGCTCTTCGTGACACAAGAAATTGGGGATTGTGAGTGATTAACATTATTTTCAAGATTAGTTTATCATGGTATAAACGTATATTAATTTCTTTTATTACTCGACAAACACTGAACTCCAAGACTTGAACAAATGAACAAACGAAGTAAACCCCCTCTCTCTATTATACATGCTTTCCCCATGGTCAAATGGTTTTGTTCCAAAGAAATTGATCTCCTGGCTACAGTTGGAGGTTTTTCTTTTGTCACATCATGAGTGGAAAGTTTTTATCTTATCAACTGAGGGCGGGGAAACAGAGTTGTTTATTCTAGTGTCAATATATATCCTCCTTTTTTTTTTCATTCTGCTTTAGGATTTGTTTTCATAATTGATTGCATATTCCTCACTACATGTGGTCATGTTCCCTAAATAGTCCTAGTTGTGCTAGTGAAGCCCATTATATTGAAATCCCCTTCTTCTAATCTGTAAACTTATTAAAGGTTTGATTTGAGTCAAGAGGGTTAAAGTAATGTTTATAGTTCAATCGCGAATGTGTTATTCTCTTATTAATTAGGATAAAGTCACTTGTATATCACATTTCTATATCATGCTTGACATCATCCTTGTTGTCAAGATTTGATTGGTGATTTAAACTGTAATTAGTTTGCCACTCATCAAATTATTCGACAATCATATTAAGCCCATGTTTCATAGAAATTATAATCTAAATTTTTTATTAAAGTTAAAGTCAACAATTAATTTTAATCACATATTTCATAGGATCCACAACTTTTTAACCATACATTTCATTAATTTTTATCAAAATTTACTAATAATCTGATTTTAATTTCCACAAAACAGGAAGTAAATAAGAAAAATAAGTGAACTCTTGTTTATAATCATGTTCAACACTACTAGTTACGAAGTATACTATCATAGTCTTTTCACAATGATTTGGACAAATTGATTATTGTCAATTTTTATATCCCACAAGTGTACGAATTGTAACAAGTAATAAAGTGGATCTAATGGATCCGGATATAGTTCTCATGAGTACTAATATTTAACAATTAATCCAATTATTCATAACGTTAATTTGATGGGAAACAAATGAAAGACGCGTATTTTTTCTATTATAAATATATTAAAACAAATAAAAGT